CGGGAGTGGCCCGGGGTCTGGGGACATTGGGGGGGGGGCGATGAGATCCATCATGTCAGCTCATCAGCTTACTTTTTTTTATATGTATATATATGATCTCGTATCCAGAATGCACAGATCAATGACATGCACGTTAGAAAAAATGTCAAGAAGGGATGTGTGTGTGTAATGATAAGAGTATTATGGTATGAGTGCTTCGTGGTAGAGGACGGGGTGTTCAAAAAAAAAGTTGTCAAAAAGACTGATTTTTTGTTTCAATTATGCACAATACTTGAGAATATATATATAATTGAAGCGGAGGATACCTGTCCCCTTGCCATCTCTCTCTCTCTCTCTCCAACGTCCGTCAACTCTCCCCACGTTTCAACATGCACACAACAAGGGGCGTGCGTGCGTCTAAGAATTTACTGCACGGTAATGGAGGCCGAGCCGGAACTCTGGTAACCTTCGGTAGCAAGGATCTGATAGTTGTGCTGACCAAGCTTGAGCCCGTACTTGGACCAGGCATCGAAATGGGCCTGTTTTGTGAAAAAAAAAGACATCCTCGTTAGTTTTTGTTTTTGTTTTTGTTTTTATCCTCATACTTGGAGATTACAAATTTCAAGATGGATTACTACGTACCTGAATAGTAACAGTACCGCCCACGCGCTTCTGACGGCGAACCGACCAGAACTGCTGGAATGTAGCGGTTCCGTCGATGGAAGGCTGGTTGTAGCGGGTGGTTTGCAGGATATCGTATGTACCATTGTCGATTGTGATGGAACCCTTGATCTGAGCAGCAGATGAAGGGTTGTAGGAGCCGTAGGCTTCGACAATGTAGTATTCGACGAGTGGGTTGCGGGTCCAGCCGTACACGGAGATGTACGAGTTGACGTTTTGCGCATTCCAGGTGCCGCTATAGGTGAAGGGGGCGGTGGTGCCGGGGTTTCTTGGGGGTTCTGTTAGTGCCATGGTCAAATTGACAGCGGATATGCTGCAGTTTACGTACCGTCCCTTGCCAGCAACAAAGTTGTTCACGTTGTTCCACTGAACGCTGTACTGGCCACCAGGGCCGTTGTTGTAAGTAACTTGTCCTTGGCCATCGGTCCAGAAGGAGTAGAAGTAGCCATTGTCGACACCAGTTCCGGGTTGAGTGGAGCGAGTGCTCAGGCTGGTTGTCTCGTGGCGGGCCTTTGCATCGAGAATGAGGGCAAGAGGCGAGGCGATGACCGCAGAGGCGCTGCTAAGAGCAAGCAAGAAAGAAGAGAAGGCAACCATGGTGTCGATTGAAGTGGAAGTTGTGTAAATGCTCGGTGGCCTTCTTTGTTCTGGGCAATGCGTTCCTTTATATGTGCACTGATGGCAGTTGTACCAGGATGAGTGCTGCTAGGAACTTCCGAACACCGGCGGCAATGTGATGCATCAGACAAGGCCTTACAAATTACCCTATGTCGGTGTTGAAATGATTGTTTATTGAACGGCGTATAGCCACCGCTGCAATATGGGGCATATGGGGCGGCATCGCGCGAACGGTAGTAAAATGTTTTAGCCGCACTTCAGAGTAGCAGAAACCACCGGCTATTCTAAGTCCACAGGCGTAATTGAGTTCGTCTTTGTTGTTCGCGATGGCGAAATTCTCAGATTTGAAACTTACTATTTCAGGGATTCAAGTAATAGTCGATGCTGACTCCCCATGTTATAGGCCCGACAAATGCCGAAGCAGCATGGTCAATCATAGAGCATAACGGTATTACCAGAAAAGTACCGGCCCGCTCTACCCGAATCCTAAATTTTTTGCTGTTTTAGAAATGTTTTGTCACTACAAGTCTTGGTGGTTTGCATCGTGGTAAGGTACAAGCTTTCACTGACTGTTCAAGCTCACCCAAGAGTTAGGCTAAGAATTGCCGTGCGTTGGCACACCAATCTATTCGTATTCATACACCATTAGCTTGTGCCTCATATCAATTTCGGGGCATGGGACGCCAGCACATGATCAAAAGTGGATTGATCAAGGAGGGGTTGAAAGCAGTTACGCCTGGCGAACAAGCATTTAGCCGGTCTCTAGACCACCGTTCGGGGACTTTTCGAGGCATGATCGGCATACTCGTGTGTTCCACCGTGTGGCAAGCCATGTGGTACGGTAATAGATACATTGCGCCAAGGACTTTGGAGATCCGAGGACTTGCGATGACGAGGGGTGGTGACGTGTTGCCAAGAAGGGCAAGTGGTGGGTTTGCATTTATAGATTAAAATACCCCTATATCATAGCCGGGGCATCTTTGATTGGGTATCTCAAGTACATAGTTTGGTAAAAACCTTGTCGGGCCGTGTCCATTGTGCATTTTTCAACGGCATCAACGTCGGTTGTTCCACAACTGGTCAATGATTTGGAAGACGGCAGTGACTAGTTTCATAGTATCCGCATCCATATGTTCTCTGAACCGTTGTTGCATCTTGTCAGGATGCCAGCGAACTCGCTCGGCCTTGAGCAGTGCGGCTGAGTCCTCTCGCCACGACTTGGAAGCCCGCAAGAAACGCTCGATTTCATCTTTTGACACATGCTTTGCCTGTCCCGACACTACTGGCCATGGAATCATGTCGTGTGCCTTGATGGCTGCTCCGTCACTCGAGTGCTGGGCATTCTTTAGACCATCCCACTTGGCCGTATAACTATGCCAAGCAGCCTCTGCTTCTTTGACCTTCTTGCGCTCTTCACCCCGGCACAAACTTTCTTCCATACGACGTCGTATGTTCTCTCTTTCTGCCTCCTCGCGTTCGAGTTCATCGTCAAGTTGGCTGCGCTGTGCCTTTCGCTTCTGGCGTGCCCGTTCTTTTGCCTCACGTTCCTCGAGGATGTGTTGATGACTCTTTTCCCACATTTTGGTACGCACATAGTCGGCATACTCGTCCTCGGTCATGCGCTCCAGCTTTCCGTCTGCGCCTGGTTTTTTATCTGAATAGATATGGACGGGCTGGCCGTATACACCTTCCCAATATGCAGCACCCTCGTCGTCGGCAAGCGCATCGAAGAGAGACTCGCGGAATGCGTCTTCGGGTGCCTTTCCTGGAGATGCGGCTCCCGATTCTTCCAGGTTGTCGAACAAGGATTCGCGATGTCGGTGGTCGGGGTCATAGTATGTGCCATCTCGGGTGGACGTGGGATGACGGTCATGATGAGCGCGATGCTTGTGCTTGTGTTTACGTCTTGAATGCCGGTGTTCCCGTCGCGTATCCTCGTCTTGATCTGCTCTGTGTCTCTTGCGACTGTGCTTGTCGGTATCTTCGTGCTTGTCCTCGTTATCGCGGCACCTGGAGCGACGTGTGGAGCCAGACTTGAAGTGAAATGGTGAAGCTTTAGCTTTGGCGTAGAGGCCATCCTCAGTCACACCGCTAGCCTGGTCCTCCATGGTGAGGACTGTGATGCCTGAATGTCCAGCCTTGCATGAGCGATAAAAGGAATGCGCACAGGTTGCCTGCGACTGTAATCATGGAACAAAGTTGGATGCGGAGTAGGTGCGGAGGTGCTGATGATCTCACTGGTGCGCGACGGCCTTGGCATGCGACGTCCAACTCGCGTTCGCGACTTGGCCTATCATATAGCACCAACACTCATCATGTCATTCAAGTTTGGTTTAAATGTAAAGGCCAAGGGCAATAACCCGCTCGCCAAGGCTGGAGCAAAACCAGGAATTGGAACGAAGAAGAAACCGCTATTCGGTGACGATGAAGACGACGACGTAAAAGGCAAAGCAAAGGCAGTAGACGGTGTCCAGGAAATTGGAGAGCTCAGTTTTGAAGACACGCTCGCATCTGCTTCGTCAGAACCTTCAAAATCTGCCCCAGCAAAACAAAAAAAGGGCCAACCGCCAGCTCCTCCGAGCAAAAAACCCAAGCCGAAAGAAGATGATCCTACCAATGTCGCATATTCAGCCAGCGCCGCCGAAGCCGAGAAACGAGCGCAGGAAGCCCTAGAAGCCGATGCTACCATCTACGACTATGACGCTGCCTACGATGCCATACATGCGCGCGATGCTGAAAAAGCGGCAGCCGACCGTGAAGACGCTGCCCAGCGGAAACCCAAGTACATGGACGCGCTCTTCGAGTCGGCTGAGCAGCGGAAAAAGGACCAACTACGCGCGCGTGACAAGCTCTTGCAACGTGAGCGAGAAGCCGAAGGCGACGAATACGCCGACAAGGAGAAGTTTGTGACTGGCGCATACAAAGCACAACAAGAAGAGACGCGCAAGGCCGAGGAAGAGGAGAAGAAACGGCTAGAGGAAGAAGAAGATATGAAGAAGAAGTTAGGCATGCAGGGCTTCCACAAGCAAATGCTTGCTGAGCGGGAGCGACGACACCAGGAAGCCATGGAGGCTGCCGCACGCGCCCTCAAAGAAGGCGTCAAGCTACCAGCAGAGGAAACCGAAAAGGAAAAGACTGACGCCGAAATAGCAGAGGAGCTGCGCAAGCAAGGAAAGAAGGTCGTACTCAACGACGATGGCCAAGTAGCCGATCATCGCCAACTTCTCTCCGCCGGTCTCAACGTCATTGCGAAGCCTAAGCCCACTTCTACAGCTTCTGCTTCTTCGTCTGCAGCTACAGCTGCACCCAAGTACACACCTTCGCATGGCATTCACAAGGGAGGCCGTAATGCGCAGAGGGAGCGTCAGACAGCCATGATTGCCGAGCAGATTGAGGCTGCAAACAAGAGAAAGGCAGAGGAGGAGGCAGAGGAGCAAGCGAAGATTGAGCGGGCGAGGAAGAGTCAAAAGACGGATCAGGATATTAGTAGTGCAAAGGAGAGGTACCTGCAGAGAAAGAGGGAGGCTGCTGCAGCTAAGGCCGCTGCTAGTGGGAAGTAAATAGAGTAATGATACCCCTTTTTGATCGTTTAAGATTTGAGCCTGAGTCGACTCTGTAATGACCCTGTGAGTGGACTCGTGGGTTGTGAGTGGTTCTGCCTTGGTCTTTTCACTACCCAGGTCACGTCCTAATCCCGTCTCAACTGCTCTTCACCTTCCCCTTCTCTTCCTCACCATCCTGAGCTTTCTCCTCCTTATCTTCACCACCATCTTTCTCGTCATCCTCACTACCCCTCAAATAAACAACCATCCCATTCAACGCATTCCCGTGCTTCTCAAACTCACACAACTTGACCGCCTCCCTACCCACCAACCACTTCTTCCCCACCTCATTACACTCCTGTAACTTCTCCTTCTTCTCCTCGCTCTGCGCATACATGCTGTAATCATCTAGAATCTCATTCCCAACATACAGCACGGGATCCCTATCAACCAGAAACATGGGAAGCAGCAAGAACCAATCCACAAACGGCGAGTAGACAAACGACTTTGCCGTGATTTTCGCTTCGAGACCAGATTCCAGAGTCGTGATGGAGAGGAGGGACAGGAACTCAGTGTCGAGAGGCGTAAAAGCCGGGTCTTGGGCATAGCACTGGATCTCAGTCTTCTTGCTGCTTTTCTTCACTGTGGGATGAGTGTTAGATGCTCATCTAGCAAAGACTTCAGCACGTAGAGAAGAGGGGGAGACTTACGTCGTCCAACAACATGCTCAAACAGCACAAGCTGCCACAGGCTCCTCCAGCGATGCGCCCAGTCCCTACTGAAACTGCCGATTCCTATACATACTGCTTCTTCAACCGCCCACTCCCTTCCCTCGATAACACCATCGACCTGAGCTGCAAGTGCCGTATCTTCCCATCGCTCCTGCAGCGTCTTGAAATCGCTCAGCAACTTCTCGGCGGTCAGATCCTTGACGATTTGGGTTGGCAGAGCCGTGGCACCTTGGCTCTTCTCACTGAGCGAGATATTGGATAGGCCATGTGTGATGACCGTCCACCCATCTTCTCTTTGAATTTGCTTGCGTTTTACTCTTCCACTGCCGCTGCCGCCACTCGCTTTATTTCTCCCAGGCATTCTCTTCCTTGTTCCTACTATTCCCCCCCTCTCCTCTTTTACTCTTCACCAAAAAGGCAAATACAACCTACCAAACCCGTAAGCAGCCCCACTTTTCAAATCCCCAAACAAAAAGACTGCATCTTTCTTTCCTCACTCTTTGTTTTGTTTTGTTTTCGTATCCGCCCTCTCAAGTCACTTTCCCTTGGAAAGACTAGTAATGCAAACACCAAAAGCAGATAAAATGCCTTTCCCCCCCCAGCTCCGTTATGTATGTGTACTAGAATCCCCAATAATCCAACCAACAAAATGGGCTCAAGCAAAAGCCATAAACGAATGAAAAAAAGCGGGGTAAGATTCACCACCACTCCCCAACCCCAACAGCAAATCAGTGAACCGCGGCCCAAGTCTGTATACGTATACGCTATTTTTTTGAACAGCAACGTCAGTAAACTTGGCACTGCAAAAGCGGCAAAGTTCCCCCTTTTTTTTTCTTCTTCCAAATTCCGCAGTTGTTGTCGTTGTCGTCGTCGTTGGTGATGATGATGATGATGATGATGATGATGATGAACGTTTTTGGTCCCCAAGGGCGCGTACAAGAGCGATATGAGAGGGTGCGGCGCAATCGGGGCAAAAAAAAAGTGGGGGAAGACAAGGGAAAGAGAAAAATAAAAAAGGTAGATCAGTTGTCGGAATGGGGATTCCGATCGCGAGTAGGTACAAGGGTTATTGTGGGTCGAGAGGGGACGATGGTGCGTGTATAGATCGTACTGGAAGGGTTGGCGATTGTGTTATAGTGGGGGCATGAGTATTTAGTGAGGGGAGGGTTAGACAAATGAGTAGTTATGTAGAGTTGCATGTATGTTTAGAATGCGGGGGGTTTTGCATCGGTGTAACATTATCGTGGAGCACATAGTTGAGTTGTGCTATAGCAAATGTCTTTTCCTATGGTAGATCTTTTTTTTACCGATTTCCTGGGAATAATCTCACGACTCGGTTTCCCTATTACTCATGTTGGCACTGGTGTTGGCAGAACAGCCAGCGGCAAGTGGAGCAAAAAACCGTGCCTCCCCCATGCATTGTCGACCCTTTGGCTTTTCCCTTTCCAACGCAAGCCACCCGCTGCCATCCGGCAAGCCCGTAAGCCCGGCGGCGCCTCTTAGGCCTCCCATTGACGTCTTCGTTGTTGCAGAGATACAGGAAAAAGTCATCTTTTAGTGTTGATGATGATAAATGCTGTAGAACGAACAAAAGTAAGCTGGAGGCTTGTGGTCAATGCGAGTAAGCATCATCAACAGCATCATCATCGCGTCTCCCAACGGGGACCCGGTCAGAAATAGAAATGATGGTGTAAGAATTTGTGATTAGCATTCATCAGCAAAGCTGCTACAGCGGGGTGCAGCGCTTTCATGTGCGGTTTGAAAAAAAAAAGTAAGAAGAAAGGGCGGTTTCAAGCTGTTCCTTCAGCAACCCCCCCTGATTGCGTACGTTCCAACTGGAAGTCTGTCGCTTTCAACAAAGAACCGGATATCTTGTACACCCAACGCCATGCCCGTGATACGTAAAAAACAACAAAAAACAACAACAGCAAGTTGACTTTCTTAAACGACCCATGTTAACCAGGATGCGGCTGCAAGCATTGCTGGTACTAGTATCGAGGCATAACCGTTTACGACAATGGTGTGTTGCGCTCGCGATGATGTTGTTGCGTATAGAACTTGGAAGCCGATTTTCTGGTCTGGTTCGGTTGTGTTTCTGCAGTTTGTTGCGTTGACCTCTGGTATTTCCGCGTCCCCTGGTTCGGCAAATGTGATGTCGGCGCACTGTTGAGGTTCGTGAGCAACATGTATAGAATATTATCAAGATTGATGAAAACTTACGTTGTAGAGGGCGGCGCCATGTTGCGCCAGCTCAATGACCTGGATGGTAGCATTGTCTCCGACTTTAGGCGTGTAGTTGGCAGGTAATGGTACTTGGGGCAAGCAAAACTGGCCTCCGTATTCCTGGTTCGTGGGTCCGGTGATTTGGAAAACGGGCAACATGGTATGGGAATAGTTCAGAGGCTCATTTCCGTATCCCATGTTGATGTAGATTTGAGCGAGGGCATGGCCAGGGAACCATCCTGGTTGGATAGAAACGGCACCACCCTTGAGGGGCCACTTTGTTCGGTTACGCGAGGTTGGCATTCCTCCGCCTGTTGAGGGTGTTAGCTATGGAATGGGACAGAAGCAAGATATCGAAGTGACATACAAGGGTACATCCACTGCATGCCATATGGAAACCCATACGAGTCGGTGTCTTTGTGGTAGTTTATTCCAAGCGATCCATCTGGGATAGTCGGGTCGGTGGGCGACAGGGTGCCGTTTGTGTGGATGTTGTTTCCTCTCCATGGTGGGTAGACCATAACAGTATGCGCAGCGGCAAGCGACCAGGTCGCGGCGACCAAGACGAGCTCGGTGAAACGAAACATGGCGGCGGTGTGGTGGTGAGGAGGGAGGCTGTCTCAAGGCAGAGATGCTTTTGTCTAGCTATGCGGCGGGGGGCGCAGTCCGATAGTAGGTAGTCGACACAGCCAGGTAAGGTGCGGTGGCGGGGGCCGTTCAAGACTTAAGAGATACAGGCCTTGGCCGCGACCGACTTGTGGGAGCCACCATGGCTGGCGAAAAGAGCGAGGGGAGCGAATAGGCGATGCAAACCGAGGCGGGCAGCATGAGCAGCCATTGCAGGTCAGCACTGGAAGCATTGAGTAGGCAGCGAATAGGCATGGCGGTAGCATATTGGCTTGACCAGGGCGGGCGACCACTAAGCTGCGCGGCTGCAGGTCTGGTCGGGCGGGAGGGAAGTTAGAGGTGGATAGCGTGGGTGAAAGGCATAGCCATGGCGACTGTCATTGGCCAGGCTGGTGTGATGGCTTTGCAGGCTATGCCATGGCCGGCCAGGCCACTTCTAAGCGCCCAACTGCTCCACCTTTGCATTGCACAAATGCCCATCAAGAACCCTCTCGTCGGCCACACGAACGTCGCCTCCCGTGCCAGCCCGTCGGTCACAGTGTGATCGCGGCGTGATTCATGACTTGGAACCGCCGCAGTCTCTGCAGTCTCTGCAGTCTGCTCAAGACGACTCGAGCCCAACACTCCAACAGTGGCGATAGGATGAGCGCATCAGTCTATGTACGTCTATGCCGACACAGTCAGCTCCGCGCTGGTGATACAGCATCTACGCCGCAATATACACACCGGCACACCAAGTTTCCAATCTAGGTGCATGCGCATGCTCCCCCATCGTCACTCATACCGTTGCATCCACGCCGCATGCCCACCGCCGGCTGACAGGCGAAGCACCATGTTTCGACTCTTGTGATTGGGCCAATGTTTCTTCGTCCCTTGGCCTTGGCCGTTCCTATCTGGCCAATGTACCGGGACTGCCAGAGCTGATCGTTCTGGACCCGCAACCTCTTCTTCATTCGTTGCTAGCATCTGGTACGACCGTACTTACAAGCGTTACTCCCTTGCACCATGTCAAGAACCATTAATCAGGTGCCGTTGACTCGGACATCATGTTCGACATCGATCTGCCAAGTGTGATAAGGCTGGCAGTGGGGTAGATAAATGGTAAGCATTACACAAGGGACCTTCACGCGACCGACGTTTATGGAAGGCACAGCTATATCACAGCCAATAACTATTTCCCCACAACACGTGACTTCGTACCCATTGCTACAAAAACACCATGCCTGGACAAAGTGCACATCCCATTCCACCTATCCCACAGCTACCCAACCAATCTGTGTCCAACAAACCCATGCTAGCCCTGCTCCATCTACATAACTACTTCACCCGCCTAACTCCCAGCCTCCACTGGCACATTCACCCCCAACCTCCTCAGCCTATCCGTGGCAGCTTCAACCAGCACATTGTTCCGCTGTATCAGTTCCTGCACCTGCTCATTCTCCGCCTTTCTCGAGTAGCTCGCTATCTTTACCCCGTTACTCCTCACTCCCTCATTCTCTCCCCGTTTCGCCGACTTGGTTGCCTCTTCAATCTGTCTCGCTTGCTCTTGATGCACTTGCTTGATCCTCTCCAGACGCTGCCATGCCGGCCGCTCGCTGCCGTCAACGTCATCGGTTAGAGTCTTGCTCGAAGGATCCACAGCGCTCTCCATCGTCTGTAGCTCTTCGATCCAGCTGCTTTCCTTCTCGCTCAACTGACTAGAACCAATGTTGACCATCTTTCGTCGAAGTGCTTCGTAGCGTGCGTTGATTTGCTCCTGTCGCACCTTGACTCTCTCCATTCGGTCGTCAATCTTGAGGCTTTCGTAATTCGATCCGTCGACTGAGCTGGCTTGACCGTTATATGTCACATCCTCAATGTTTGCCGCAATTTCCGATGTCCTGTAAATCTGGTCTCGGAACTCTTCCTGCAATCGAGTCGCTCTGTTGAACAGGTCCGAGACCGCGTGCTGCAACTTTGAAGTCTGCGCCGAAAGTGCTCGGTGGACATCCATAAGCAGTGAGAGGTTCGCAGGAGACAGCCTAATCTCATCCTGGAGAGTTCCACGGTGTCGTGCGGGGATATGGATGGATTTGAACAGGTCGAATGAATCGTAAAGCTCCTTTGGCGGTTGCCATGCCTCACGAACTTCTTTGTGGGGCCCAGCAATTGCCATGTACTCGGCAAGCTCTTCCTGAGTAGGTAGTCCGTCTTCTGGCGCATCAAGAAGGGCAGCTTGGGGCTCGCCATTGACACTGGTAAGAAGAAGGTAACCAACGTTTCCATCCTCAATGACGACTGCTGCTGTGACTTCTTGGTCTGCTACATTGCCAGTAATGCGTCGTTGCAGACACTGGTCCACGGACGTGCTTGCCGACTCCAGCACTCGCTTGAGACGGAAGGCCGAGCCCTGTGTTTGGGACTGGGATAACTCGACCTCGACCTTTCGGATCCAGGGCTCCAATGAGATGTAGAAGACACCGCTGGCGTGCGAAACGAAAAATGAAAAGTCGGTATGTACATCGGGCGTGATGCTCTGGTTGAACGATGATACTTCATCTTTAACCAGAGCAATTGTTTCCACTATAAGCAACTCGTGCTCGTGTCTTTCTGCCACGTCAATCTCATCTTCCGGTGATGGCAGCCAGCGTCCAACGATGCCCTGCAGATCCAAGCATACATGAACCATGCTCGTGTCAGTGAGTAGGCATACTACGGCTGTTGGCAAGCCCTCGGCTGCTGTCTCTTCATCTTCGCTCTCCGACAAGGTCTTGAGCGAGAAGACAATCATATCACTGAGCTCGAAATCCTCCACCTCGGGTGTCATGGTGAACGGTCCCTGCAGGAGTGGTACTGCAGGAGCGCTTGTCGGACGGGCAAAGACTTTGACTGTGTCTCCTTGTTGTCGCTCTTCTACAAAAGGCTCCTCGTAGAGAATGTCCGACAACCACGAAACTTGCTTCTCCGCCGTCTTCAGCTCGTCTTTCGGTACTGTTTCGTCCTCAGATGTCTCGGTGTAGTTGATGTTAATGGATGAGGTGAGGGTCTCCAGAAACGTGTAGCTGCCGGGTGACTCGACCAATTGCCACTTGCTCGGTAGTAGCGGGCAGAGCGCATACACATCACCAGATACAGTAGCGATCCAGAGCGTCATTGGCGCCCACCCGTGGACACCCTCTTGCTCTGGGAAGTCACCAAAGCATGCAGATGCAACTTCCAGCTCGACAGAGTCGGGGGAGAAGCCTTTCGAAGCTCCAAACTTGGATGCGCTCAAATCATCCTGATCACTTGTCGCATTCGCTAGCTTAGGCAGATCAATTGACAGCGCAGGTTCGCTGAATGTAGACCTATCCGCGCGATTGATCTCCCAAAGCCGCACCACACCCGCCTTTGTGATTGTGACCAAGCAACGTCCGTGATATCCCAAAGGGTGCCATAGCACTGTCGCGACTGAGGACTCTTCGAGAACGTGTACGGTCGGTCCTAGCTGGAAAGTCTTTGGCTTCAAAGGGCCCTCTTCACCGCCTTCGAGCAACGACGGGTCGGGGAGATGAATCACATGGACGGTATGCGATGTCGAGACTGCGAGGTAGTCTTCCTCTGGAGAGATGGTAAGACGCGTAATAGGTAGTGGTATTGAGACTCTGAGGGTACGGTATGCGGGCTGCGCCTCTTCTTTCAAATTGACCAGGTCCGCCCAACGGATCTCATTTCCAACCGCAACAAATATCTCCGAGCCTCTTGTCGCAATCGTCCTTTGCGATCCTGCCTCCGGTCTTCTCGCTACGACTCCGTTACCGTCCGTGTGTTTCGGCGCAAACAGGTGATAGCCTGGATTCGGGCGGCTGAGCCAGTCTGGGGTGTAGCCAAGGATTTTGGGCATGGCGAATACTATCCCGGTAAGGCCGAAGAGTTTGAATATCCACCGGTGATAGTGGTGTGAATTTGATTGTTTGGAGGTTGGGGAATCTATGAGCAAACAAAAGTTCCAGCTTTGAGAGCGCGCGCCAAGGCCGACGCGTCTGGGGCAGCTGCAAGCTAGCTCTCAACCTTGGATCTCGATAATCACTCCAACACCAAACTTTGTAATAACGCTTGAGAGGCTTGAATACGGTCGCATCTAGAATACATTCCTTCACGTGCGGAAAAAACGTTCACCATGCCTGCGCTTCGAAGCACAATCGACCGTCTCGACAAACCAAGCTCATATGCGACAGCAAAGGTACCTATAAGCCTTGCGCTCCAACTCATATCGCATGTACTAACAACTCTTAGAAGCGCAGACGCGATCGTAACACACGCGACGAAGACCGCGCCCGCTCGCCCTCGCCCGAAGATAAACTCAAAGATGCAACTACGCTCTACGTAGGCAATCTCTCCTTCTACACCACCGAAGAGCAAATCCATGAGCTCTTCTCAAAATGCGGCGAGATCAAGCGACTAGTAATGGGCCTCGATCGGTTCCAAAAGACACCCTGCGGGTTCTGCTTTGTCGAGTACTACACACATCAGGATGCGCTCGACTGCATGAAGTACATTGGTGGCACCAAGTTGGATGAGCGCGTTATCAGGACAGATTTGGACGAGGGATTTACCGAGGGACGGCAGTATGGTCGTGGAAAGAGTGGTGGACAGGTGCGCGATGAGTACCGAGCCGAGTATGACCCTGGACGTGGTGGCTACGGAAGGGCGGTGGACGAATACCATGAGGCGCAGTAGAGCAGTGTTGAGGATTCCACGATCGCGCAGCAGCATGTCGGCGACAACAGGGAATCATCCGGAGACGCGGGCTCGACATGGAGGGCCTCTAATAGCGACCGCGGCAGAAATGATGAGAAGCATATCTCGGCTCAAAGACTTGAGTTTCTATATTAGCGCAAAAGACATACGGTTCAATTCTCTGGGCCTCGGAACGGAGACAACGAGCAGGATCGTCGATCCCAGGAATGAATTTGCACATTCCAATTTGATGCAGTTTGACGCATGGCACTGGAAGAACTGGGCATCCATCTTTCGACGTCAGTGATTAGTTTTGTATTTCTAGACTTGCATATGAAAGAGCAAAGGAACCACATATCAGATACCTTTCAAAATTTACCGCCGTCTTTAAAACGCCTGCCCCTCGGGCGATTTCTAGTAATGCGGTCTACAAATACAAGTCTTGAGTACTCTATCATAAGATGCGTAGCTCACTTTGTCCGGTCCGCCAGTTCAAACTGCTCTCTTCTTTCTACCGCCTTGAGGACTTCGCCCAACCACCACATATGTATGCGCGAGTCTTCCGTCAGCTCTGGGTGGAAACTGCATCCAAAGACATTGCCCTGGCGAACGGCGATTATGTCCTCTGCACCCGCGTGGTTGTGCTCCTGGTTCTCTTGCAATGGCTTCGCGTTCGTGGACAATGTGGCCATGATCTCAACTTCGCGATCCAGTTCCTTCCTTGCCAAATCGTCGACTGGTGTCTTACTCGGCGCAACAACGGTATCCTCCCTTTCACTCTCACCCTTCTGGATGCCAACCGCTTTGGAGGTGGGCAGCACCTTCTCAACTACAGGCGCGCGTATAAAGACACATCGATACGGATCGCTCTTGCCAATGTCGCTTGTGGCGTCCAGGAAGGGCAGGTTGAGATTGGCTTGGAAACTTTCTTGTTGCCTTCCAAAATGATTCCTGTTCACTCTCACATCCAGACCTCCGATCAATTCTTGCCCGCCCTTCTTTGTCCGGTTCGCGCTTTCTGCAAGCAATATGAGACCGGCGCATGTGCCCCACGTCGGTTTGCGCTGGACCTTGACAAAGTCGCGCAGGGGCTCAAGGAGGTTGCTTCGTGCGGCTACAAGGGACATGGTTGTGCTCTCGCCACCAGGGATGATAAGACCATCGCATTGTTCGAGTTGCTCAGGAGTGCGCACTTGGATGAACTGGAACGGTGGTGCGGAGGCGATATTCGAAGCCGCGGAGCGCAAGAGTTGAATGTGTTCGCTGAAAGCGCCTTGCAGGGCAAGCACGCCAACTGTGACTTTCTGATCGCTATTCGTAACCGTCATGTTGAATCTTTGAGACACCTATCAACTCCGTAACCAGAGAAAACAAAGGAAAGAAAGGTATGTCTACAAGATTACGACATGGAATGACATGGGAGTCACACAAGACGGAAAGTGACGGGAAATGCGACAAAATCTTTATCGATAAACCCCAAGTGTTCCCCACTAAAAGCCGCAGTCTAGGCATGTCACCCACCTCATCTCAGCCCTAGCCGGATCGCTTCTCCGATCATCATTCTCTTGATCATCGACCTCGACTCTCGGGAACCCCGCTGATGCCGTGAAGGAATGGACATGATATAGAAACTCCGAATATGACGCATGACTACGGAGGTGCCTTTCAAAAGTTCTGTCTGCCAAGAATAATCTAGCCGAAGTACGGCCGCCTTAGCTGAGGCTTATCTCTTCCCTCTATATACTTATTACTACCTTATAGCTTAATAATCTTTTAAATATATATAAGAATTCGCTTAATCTAAGCTTAGATCTTAAGTTGCGAGAGATCTCTCTAGTAGTTCTACTAGATTCTAACTGCCTTAGCTCTTAACTATAGAGCTCCTTTCTTTATAGTCTCTCTCTTTATATAGAACTAGTATAGCTTAATATAGTTATAGTTTAGTAAGTTACTATACTAGAGTAGTCTCTTAATATTATATAGGTAATAGATTACACTCTAATAGTAGTAGATATAGCTAGGTGTCTTATTCTCTATTATAATAGTCTAAGGTCTATCTTAGAGGTATTCTTTAGTAAAAGGGATTAGCTTTAGGATTAGAATATAGGTCTAATATCTCTACTAGTCTATACTATCTCTAGACGTATATACTAGCTTATCTATCTTCTCTATCTATCTTTATTAAGGCTTCCTACTATACTTATTATATAGCCCTATCCTCCTTATAGACTCTAATAGCTTCTACT